CTAGTGGTGTTTTGGGAGGGCGTGAAAGTTTTAGCAATGCCTACGTTTTGTTTTCTTTTTTTCTTCTTTAGTTAATTATAAAAAAATTTATGGTTCAAAAGACCACCTGAAGATGAGGAGAGGATTAGCAGGAGCTTGTGTTTGTTTGTGCCTGCTTGTTATTTTCTGTTTGTGATTGACATTTAGAGAGGAGAGACTCCTGATACACTAGAAAGTCAGGTCTCCCAATATGACTGGTTTTGACAACTTATCTCTTAGTAGCACCAGGTTTGGGAAGTTGAGGTGAAGTTACTGCTGCTTACTGTTTTACGTGTGTCTTCCTGTCCAAGCATCCCTACTGCCTTGAGGGATTTGTTTACCCATGGCAGGACTAATGTAAACATTATTTTCCTCTTGATACTGTATCTTTTGTTTCTGTGGTTATATGCCTCAATTTGATCCACCCTCAATGATTTACTTAAATAATGCATTTTAATAATTTCTCTTGCTCTCCCTCCCACCTTGGTGGCTCCCCCACCCTCACTTCTGATAAGCACATCGATTTATTTAAGCCAGTGTTGTCTTTGTCGCTCTCTGAGCAGACCACCTTCCTCCCGAGGAGCAGGCACATGATTTACTGTGGAGTATGACAATGAGACTTCTTCTCAGTGCTCCATTGTTTGGGTCCTAAACCAGCTGTCTGTTAAAATGGTTTCACTTAAAACAGTCAATGCTGTTTATATGCCCCTGGGATCTCCCAGCTGATCCAACCTCAACCAGCTTGCCTAGAACTCCACAGAAGCATACATTTAAATAGCAAAGAGAGCTGAACACCCCCTACCCCAGCCCTGCCCCAGATTGGTGTTAGAGGATACCTACTCTTGTGTGTGTGTGTGTGTGGTGGGGGGGGGGATGTTAATGTCTAGATTTGCTCAACTGTGAACCAGTCTTGCTGTGTGTGCTAAATGTACACAGTGAAGATGCTTTTAGTAGAGGAGCAAGCTGCAGGGAGAACTTGGAGGCAATGAAAAAAAAAAAAACAGAGGAAGGCTGAAGTCTGTCTTAATGTTATTGTGATCCTGGAGTTATCCGAATAAATCTATCATGTCTTCCTATACGAGGTCCCATCCAAGTGTTCATTTCAGAAGCCCCTATTTGCTGTGTGTTGTATGTACATATGCATGTGGTGTGCTGTAACAAGACTTTTCAATGATTTAATAACAACAACAAAAAACTCTATGGGTTTTTTTGTTGTTTTGTTTTTATCTACAGTGTTAGGGGGAGTTCTGCCTTTGAATTACACAGGAAATCTTGCTCCCTTTATGTGACAGTGTAGTTTACTCTAGAGACAGGAATGTTGGCCTTCCTTGCCCATGGTAGACTTCCACTCTCTTGTGTTGCAGAATTCCCCAGAAGCAGTAAAGCAGTAGTTCTTTTTCTGCCCCTATGCACTGAGAACTCTTCTTATTCTATCCAGGCTCAGGGAAAGGCAAGACAGAAACCTCAGATTCCAGATCTCCCTAGAGTTCTTAATTATTTCTGAGTAAATCCAAACTCTTGGTTTCATTTTTCTATGCTTGATTTGGAGAAGGATTCTCCGTTTTGACTCCACAGCCAGAAGCAGAGTGGCAGCTTGGTATTTGGTAAAGAGCTGAGTTACAGAGGGAGTGGGCCTGTACCAAGTGATGCTCAGCTACCAGGGGAAAAACACATGATTTCTGGGAGTCCCCATCATTCATTGCCTGGGGGAGTCCTCAGGAGCTTATTATTAACCGAATATGGTCATGGCCCTACTCATTTCAGCTAGTAGCCTTGGTAATAATAATGTTTATCTCATCTAGAAAGATTAGAAATGAGATCTTATATAACTCATATGCCTGCCCCCCCCCAAATAACACAATTTCTCCCCCCCCAACCTCTCCCTAGGATGGAAAACTTTACTAGTAGCTGTACACTAACCAAATTATTTCTTTCAGTTTAGGAAGGCAAACACTGAAGTTGAGGCAGAGGTTGTGTGGAGTCCTAGAAGAACATGTAAACAATTTAGTGATAATAAGATTTAGCAGAAAGGCATCATTAGAGTTTCTTAGCACCCTACTTGAGATCTGATCAGTAATTTATTGTGCTTTCTTTCTCCACTTTTCTATTTTTTTAAAACAGTGATTGCAGAAACTAAAGCAGGCACATTTAAGTTTTTTTAAATAAATGCATTTATTATTTAGTTTGTGTGTTCAAGTGCACACACACACATGCTCATGTATGTGTGGGGGCTCATGAGTACAACAGAGCATGTGAATCCCCAGGAGTTAACTCAGGCTTGTTGGAGAACACCTTTATCTGGTGAGCGATTTCACTGGTCTCAATTTTTGGTTTTCAAATATTTTAATTAATGCGTTTTCTTTCTTTCCCTTGTTCCTTCCTTTGTTCCTTCCTTCCTTCCTTCCTTCTTTCCTTCCTTCCTTCCTTCCTACTTCCCTTTTTACCTTTCTTTCCTTTCTTTTTCGAGGCAGAATTTTTCTGTGTAGTCCTGACTGCCCTGGAACTTACATAGTAGTAGATCAGGCTTCAGAAATCTGCCTGCCTCTGCCTCTCTAGGACTGGGATTAAAGGCATGAACAAAGAAACTTCTTGGGAATTTGAAAAGGTCATTTAGGGATATAGGAAAGAGGTGGGGGGGCAATGAGAAGGCTCAGCAGATAAAGGTGCTTGCTGAGTGAGCCTGGAATCCTGAGTTCCATTTTTGATCCCCACATGATGGAAAGAGAGAACAAGCTCCTGCAATTTGTCCCCCCTCCCCTCTCTCTCTCACACACACAGTGGCACATGCCCCCCACAATATAGTAGATAAATACATCAAGAATAAAGGAAGAACTACGTGCATGCTGAAACTCATAACTAAAGATTTGATGCATAGTAGGACATTAATATGATATAAGTTATTGCCCCAGAAAATAGTTATGAATGACTAATATAGAGTAAAATGTATGATTACAGCACAAAGAGCTGACCTGTGGTCACTGGTGAATGGTGGGCATCAGCCTAACCAAATGGTTAGAGTTTATGCTGCTAACAAACTTGCAGATGGTAGAACCTAGTTCAGAGAGGAATCAGCATCACCCTGCGCTGTTGTCCTGCCTTGAAGTCTAACCCTAATATGATCTTAAAAAATCCAGACAAAACCCAAATAGAAAAATGTTCTACAAAGTAACTGGCCCGCATTTTCAATAATGACAAAGCCATGCTACAATGACTGGAGGATATTGGAAATGAAAGGAGACATGACAGCTGAGTGCGGTGATTAGTACTGGGTTTTCTTTTGCTGTAAAGGACATTATTAGGTAATTGGTAAATCTCAATAAGGTCTGGCGATTAGATTATTCTATTGTATCAATGCTAATTTTCTGATTTAGATAATTGTGCTGTGATTATGCATGAAAATGCCTTGTTTTCAGGAAATGCAGGCTGATATATTGAGGCCATATCTGCAATTTGCAAAAAAGTGATTTAGGGAAAAAGAGAAAAATAGAAGCAAATTTAGTAAAATGCAAACATTTGAGGAATCTGTGTATTGGCTACCCTACCCTGGACTTCTAAATATATTCTTTCAACCTTTCTGGAAGTCTACAGTTAAAGAAAAAGCATTTTGTTTTTTAAATACAAGGTTATGATGAGCTAGCTGCAAACAAAATTGGTTTGATGCGTCAGTGGTAAAGAAATGTGCTTTCCCCCTCCCCATTAAGCCCTTTCCCTTACTTTTTAATCTGTTGTAAGGTGTGTTCAGGTACTGTGACCAGGTCATAATCCATGGATCTGCCTGAACTGGGTGTTAAGTTATGGAGGTTCTGTCTTCAAGTTCAGAACCAAAGTGCATGAGAGAGAATGACAAGTTAGTCACAGAAGTACTTTTATGTGCCACATAAGAATAAGAATAACCTCTGGTTAATTTAAGTAGTTTTGTCACCGAGAAACCGAGGGTTCTGTGAATGTGTGAACGTAATTTTATTAACAATTTGAAGCTGTGTTATATTACTATTATGCAGTGATACAGTGTTAAGTGAGTTAAATGTATGCTGATGCAGAATCCTCTTCTACCAATTGCACTGTGTTTTTCTTTGACTGGAATAGTAACCTGTAGAGCCCTGTGTAAGCTTGAGGTTTTGGGGAACTTGGTGGGTATCCAAAAGCAAAATGTGATTGTATTATTGTGTGTGTGTGTGTGTGTGTGTGTGTGTATGTGTGTGTGTGAGAGAGAGACAGAGAAAGCGAGAGAGACAGAGAGACACAGAGAGAGAGACAGAGAGAGAGAGAGCAAAGCAAAGCATTGTGACTGTTGGTTTAGGAGTCCTGATTTTGAGAATGAGACAGAATTCTTCATTAGGGAGCTGACTGCGACTTTATCCCCACACAGCATATGCTGGCAAGTGTTCCTGTTTGGGTGGGTGTGCACCCTACACGAGCACATGTTTTCAGCCTCTTGGTAGGAAGAGGGGTTTTCCCTGACTGTATCACTTCAGAAATGACATAGTCGGTACACAGACTGCTTAGCTTTTCCCAAACTTGCTTTCTGCTGCTTGCCGATAGAACTCTAGCTGTGGGATCTGGGAGTAGTGGAGAGGCAAATGTGTTCTACTGGGATCAAACCCACATGTTTTTTCTGTATTTGAAATACAAAATATTGTAACCGCTTCAGCCTTCTAAAGCTTCCCTCTTTATTGATTAGACTTATTTTTATTCTGTATTGAAAGAGAATTATGGTTGTCTTGACAACAGATGCCCATCACAAGCACTGGTCCAAAGATGTGCATAATGAGGTGGTTGAGAGGGCAGAGAGGATTGCATCCTATTCCACTCAATTTGGACTGATCCTGAGCTATGTGTCCTGAAATCAGCCCAGTGAGGCTTTTTGCTCCTATAAGTTAATTGGCCCCTGGCAGGGGCAAGCTGGTGAAGAACAAGATTGTTACAGGTAATGCTCTGCTACTTGCTTCTATTTTTAGCTAAAAACATGCCTTTATTTTCAGGCCATAGTGTATGAAGGCCAAGACAAGAACCCTGAAATGTGCCGAGTGTTGCTCACACATGAGATCATGTGCAGGTAAGGAATCTCTCTCTCTCTCTCTCTCTCTCTCTCTCTCTCTCTCTCTCTCTCTCTCTCTCTCTCTCTCTGCAAAGTAAAGATGAATTCGGATCTTACATCTAGGCAAACCCACTTTCATTGGTTGGGTATATGTTTATTTTGTTCTTAGTGAATAATCTAGAAGAAAGAATTCTTAGACGTATTTGGTAGTGTCAGATCACGGCCATTCTCAATTGTTTGTTACATTTCATCTCGGAAGACATCAGTTTGCATTTTGAAACAGAGCAGAGCCCTTTCTCATCCTTCACAGTGGAGTCAAATACAATACAGCCTGCTTAGTGGTGACATTTGCACTCAACTTCAAGCTTAGTAAAATGAGAGTTCTCTTGAAGTCAACAGAGTCTTCTGTTTGGGTCAACTTGAAAGTTATAGTTCCTCCTTTTGAGTTCTTCAACTTAATATAACCCCCATACCCAAGCCTCATTTCTTCTTAAACTCATCTCTTTCTTTTTTTTCTTTTCTGCTTGCATTTGGTCTTTTGAGTTATCCTGTTCATATCTGAATGTGAAGCTGATATTTCTTGGGGGGTAGTGAGCTTTGTGATTGGGGGAGGGTAGTGAAAAGGAATCCCTAAAAGGTCTAATAATTTATGCTCCTCACATAGGAGTCGTTTCACTTTCGGCTGTAATCATGCTGTTGAAGTGGCATCTGAGACCATGTTCACCTCCATGGCCTCAGCCAGGCCTGCACAGGAGAGGGACAAGAGCAGGGGCCAGCCTTTTAACATGTGCTCTTATTCCTTGTAAAATAACCCAGCATTTTGTTCCCTGTATCTCTCAAGTAATTGGATAAAGCAGGAAGATGCCACTCTGAATCAGATGAAGGCTCCTAATTGCTTTGTTAGCTGAGCAGGCTCTCCCTGGCACAATGTGTGCTTAGCTGCTGAATGTCATTGACCAATCTGAATGAGTCTTCAGTTGCCTTCTCGGCATGGGTAGCCCTCATCCGTCACTCATGCACTGTCCTGAAAAACAATCTCAAAACTCTACAGGTGGAAATAGAATGGAAAGGGCTTCATGTGTTATGTGTTTCCTGAACGAAATCCCAAATATTAACAATTGTGTCACTAAAAGTTCCATTCTTCCTTTTTTAAAAAAATATACTTCTGATTTATAGTTTGAAGATATAGAAGAGTTTCATACATTTTATTTCAGTGATTTGTAAAACTCGTTAATTATTCTAAAAACTAGGATTTTTTTTCTTCAGAGTTAAAACGGTAGCAGAACACTCCCAAATGGTGTGGGATTCCTTATGTTAGTGGGAATAGTTGGTTTTACCCTGTGTGTGTGAACTGGATGTAATCTAGCTGAATTAAAGGAGCAATATCCATTTTGAAAAGCAGTAAAACATGACCTTGCCTGTATTCCTGCTTCCCCAACCATTTCTCTACTATTTTAGCCTTCTACAATTAGCATACCATTAGACGGAACCCTCTATGTAGAGCTAGCTGCACACGACTGTAGCAAAACAGGAAACAGGAAGATGGATTTCAACCAACAGGCCAAGCACTATCTGTACATCGTCTATTTGCATTTTGTATCTGCATATGTTTGGATTATGCTGGAGAGAATTCTATTCTTGAACTACTTAGAGATATATTATGCCTTTCACGCACAGGCCTCCCCTCTATTAATGCAGTTTATATTTTCCTTGTTTTTAAAATTCATTGGTCCAAAGTGCTTTATGATGCTGGTTGCTGTGCTTTACTGCTGACATTCCCTCTATTTTTCAGAAACATAAAAATAGCAAAAATAGAATCCTCAAACCACTGAAGGCAAATGATGCTGTTTGTACCGCGTGGCTAAGAGGGAAAAGCCATATTCCAAATGTCATCTTGCTAATGTTACAGATTACAGCTTTCCTGGTTGCCTATAGATGTGGAAGGGGTACTGTTTGTTTACCAGGCTGCCATGACCCCATTACACAAACCTGTCATCTATTGTGTGGCTAACAGTCTTTTAAATTGCAAATCTGATGCTCTTTAGGGGGTTTCAGGAAAAAAAAATTCTCACTTTCCATACCATCCTATTTCTCTTGATTTCTTGCCTGTTGTAAGTGGAAGTTGGGATGTGCTGAATTTGCACCAGGGGTGCAAATGCAGCCTCAATTATAAGCATAAAATTAGAATCTGTTCACCATTAATCAGCCTGGCTAATTGCTATGCACCACCATTAGCCATATGGTGTGAAAGACAGCTTGCTCTCCCCAAGATGAAATTTCTCCATTGCAGACATGAAATAGTGAAGGCCCTGGATTTTAAAATAGCTTGTTTTAGATATTTAATTTCTAAACAACTTTCTGCAGTGCTTTCTATCAAAGCTAACGGCACAATAAAACTTTGCGTTGATGTCACAAAAGCTGTATGTTTATAATACACTGGCTATGATGAAGGAGGCAGAGAATTTCGTTCCACAAGAAAGGGTTTGGCGCATTCTGTTTGTTCATCACAGGCAAGTGGAAGGGAAAGGGAAAAGAGAAGCAAGAGACAGTTGTGTCTCACGTGTTGTAAATTGAGGAAAAACAATTGTGTTTTGTGGAGGTGACCCCATTGTATGAGATGGCTAAGGGAACTGACATCATTAGTTTGTAATCACTGACTCTTGGGGACAAACCCTCTTTGATTTGATGATGCAGGGCACTTCTGTGACATTAGGAGAGAGTTTCTGCCTTTTGGTGAATTGGAATCTATCACACCAATCATGGTGGGGAAGTTTTTAAGATAACATGGTTCCATGAATCTGTGTTTTTGAAGAGTAGGATTCTTTTTTTTTTCGAGACAGGGTTTCTCTGCAGCTATGGAGGCTGTCCTGAAACTCACTTTGTAGACCAGGCTGGCCTCGAACTCACAGAGATCCGCCTGCCTCTGCCTCCCGAGAGCTGGGATTAAAGGTGTGTGCCACCAACACTCGGCGAAGAGTAGGATTCTATAAGGGGTTTGCTTATGTGAGCACCCTGACTTATATGTTTAAATGGAACCTAGCTTGGTAGGGCATCTTGTTATCCTGCTTTCTAGGCCGGCTGAGTACAGCAGGTGTTCATTTCCAGTGCTCAGGAAGAGGGCAGGTTATAGGCACCCACACTAGGAAAGAATTTTTGCTTATTTTATCTTATTTTGTTTTGTTTTATTTGTTTTGTTTTGTAGAAGAAGCATGACTCTCAGGCTAGCTTGCTACTTTTGCTTCCTTATTAGATTTTTCCTTCCTTCCTTCTTCCTTCCTTTTTCCTTCCCTCCTTCCTTCCTTCTTTACTTCCCTCCCTCTCTCCCTCCTTTCTTACTTTCTCTTTTCCAGGTTTAGGCTGATTCCCATCTTCAGACACCCACTTAAGTATGGCTTCTCCAGGGAAGCACCTCTGGCCCTTGGCCCAAGTCATATGCCCTTGTAAGCAGTCCAGTGTACCAGGTGCTTTGAACTTCATAGGACTCTGCGCCCTTGTGTCAGCCTTGTAAGCAGTCCAGTGTACCAGGTGCTTTGAACTTCATAGGACTCTGCGCCCTTGTGTCAGCCTTTATTCAGGAAGCCCCATAAACACTGGGAAGTGACTCAGTTTTCCTCCATGCTTCAGCTGTCCCATTTGTGAAATGAGACGTTAATACTATCCCATAGAGTAGTAGTTAAGGTTAAATGTTATAGTCCTTATAAATTATTACCATGATGCCTGGCAGAGTCAGAACTGAAAGCCTGTTATGATTTGAGACAATATTAATAGAAGCAGTGGTACAGACATCATTTGTGCCTGGCCAAGTATTTGGTACTTTGTTGCTCAAAGTAACTGATGGCAAGAAAATATTGAAAGGAAGTTTAGTGTCTATCAAAACCTGAATGTACCTGTTTCATTACAGTTGCGGTGTCTTCATCATTTAGTACATACTATGCGCAAGAGCTTGTTGAGTTTAAAGGAAGAAGTAGGAGAGCTTGACATTGGAAGCTTGCAGCAGCCGGTTAGATTTCACTGGGCAAAGGCTCTAATATGATGGAACGTTGAGGCAAAGGACTGTGTCACTTGAGAGGGAGGATGGGTCACAGCAGTGGGAATGGAGAGAGCTGAGAAGGGAGAGGGGCTTTAGAGGCTGCCTTAAGGAGAGTTTGTGGTCCAGCCAGGATTGCTTTGTGGATGTTTATAACTGTGCAGACCGGTGGCCTGAAGCTGGGAAGAGGGGTTTGGTCAATGATAACCAACCTCAGACTATGCTTTTCAAAGGTGAAAACTGTAACTGCATGGAAGGTGGGATTGGGAAGCATGGAGGAAGAGGAGTAGAGGAGAGGAATCATCGCATTGAGTAAGAAGGTCCCACTCTAGAATTAGGAGGGATCTTGAACACAAGAATGAAAGAAGGAGGTGTCATGGTAGGGAAATCAGCCATGGGAGATTTTAGTGCTGGTGGGATGCAGATGAGCCCAAGGAGAGAAAAGCCCTGGGTCACTGGTGACTCAGGAAGTAGAATCATGTTGGTATCCTGAGGCTGGCACCATGGTTTTTAATGGACCCAAGTGGCAAGAAATGCTGGCCACTCTTACAGGAAGAATGCTAGAGAAATGAAGAAAGACTAGACAATGTTTGCAAACACGGAAAAAAATCAATTAGGAGAGAAGAGTTCCAGATACAACCCGATTAACTCACAGGGCCAAGAGTGCCCAGTAAAACAGACCGGGTAGGGTCGGCAAGATTGGGTGTTTGAAGACTGAGTGTTCTGAAAACAGGTAACTTTTAGGTGTGGAAGGGACGATGAAGGACACAGTCAGTGGGTCAGATTCCTTCAGAACTCATCCCCTTTGTAAGTAATCAGGCTATCTGGTAATTCACATAGCCCATTCTCTAGCTGCTTTTGGCTGAGGAGGGTAGGAGTCTTCATTTTTATTGAGATGCATAGTTTGAAATGACTCTTTTAGCAAGGAGTGGTTGCATCTGTCTGTAATCCCTGCACTTGGGAGGCAGAGGAATAGGCAGAGGATTGCTGC